TTAGGCAAAAAGAAAAAAAATAATCGGGCACAAAACAAAATAAATGTTTTGCAAATATATATTTAATTAGTAATCATATCTCTATGATTATTATTACTGTATTTTGTAGAACGGAACAATGCTAGACTAGACTGTTACACACACACAAAGGCCTCATAGTAAAAGTTAAATGTGTATGCTACTTAAGTGACACATTTCTGTTTTATGAATGTGGGAAATTCATTTTGAGTAGGCTATTACTTTTGTGTAGAATTAAAGGTAAAGCAATATGTGCAGAGATACGTATAAAAACAAATGTAATAAATGCATGCAGAAATGAATATAATAAGATGTGGAAAATAAGCAAATAAGTCATTAAATAGCCTACAAAAACAAATGTGAATGTGTTTAATTTAGATCAGATTTATTTGTTATTCGTTTCTTTATTTCTTGCGTCCTTTTTGTGTCTTTGAGAAGACTAAGGCTGAACTGAATATAGGTTAATGCAACATTCTGATGATGTTTGGCGTAAGGGCGCACACGTGTTCATTCATCTCTGTAAACTTCCTTGCATGCCTCGTCTTCTTACTTATTTTTATTTTATTTTGAAGGTTAACACTAAGATTCCCGGTAAGCATCTGCCTGAACAGGTGCGACTTGATACATTGGGAGCAATGGTTTGTGTTCATGAGCACGCTGGCGTCTCCCTGTCAGATGAGAGTGTGGAGGCCGACCTGGGGCCAGTCACACGGCAATCTATTGGAGGGCAAAGTTTACAGCGAAGCGTGTGTATCCAGATCTTATCTCCAGCTGAGGACGCGCAGTCTTCAGCTGCACGGAGAACCAGTGCGCCTGTACATGCAGCATGTAACCGGGACCGAGGCCAGCTGATATATCGTGCGTATGTCTTATACCATCTTTAACGAACCAGTCTATTAAAGGGAAGGAGGTGAAATCTCTATGTATCTATGTAAGGATGTGGAAATGTATGTGACTGTCACTTTTCTGGTCTGCATGGTGGTTGTTTCAGTCTCCGTCTGCCGTGGCCCTCTGTCTGCTCCCGTCCTGCACAGATCCGAGCCACGGTGACCCCCTTGAGCCATGGGTGGGAGTCTGGGCTGCCACCGCTCTATACCCAAGGACCCCACAGACTTCAGCTGCGGAAAGCGCAAATTCAGCGCTGCGTGCAACTTTGGCCACATCCTGGTGAACCAGGAGCGGCTCAACATCAACACAGCTACTGAGGAGGAACTCATGACTCTGCCAGGAGTCAACCGCACTGTTGCACAAAACATCGTGGACTACCGGGACTGTATCGGGGGGTTTAAAAAGGTGGAGGACCTGGCTCTGGTGAGCGGGATTGGGGCCACCAAACTAGAGGCGATTAAGTTGGAAATATGCGTGTCCAGCAGGACCAGTTCGTCCCAGCATTCCCCGTCCTCCCTGCGCAAAGACCTGGATCACCAGTCTTACACGGGGATGAACATTAACACCGCCACTCCGGCGCAGCTCATGAGCATCAGAGGCATCACAGAGAGGATAGCCAAGAACATCGTGGCCTACCGGGCAGAGCACGGCCCGTTCAAAAGCATTGAGGACCTGGTGCGCGTCAATCACATTAACAGCTCCTTGCTGGACAAAATCCGCTTCCAGGTGTACGTGGAGCGATCCAGGGCGCCGTCCACCAACGGAGGACTGACCTGCACCACCAGGGCCCACCCTAGCCCAACTTCATTCAGCCTCAGGAGCGACGACCTGGACCTCCCACCCGGAGGACCGACCCACATCATCTCCGTGCGGACCAGCGTGGAGCCCCCGCCCGGGCTACGGGACGGGAAGCCTGTGGTGCGGATGGCCACGTGGAGTCTGGACGGCTGCTCCTGTGACAAGGCCAACAACCCTGGGGTCAAAGAGGTGGTGTGCATGACCCTGCTGGAGAATGAGTGAGTACAACATCCAGGGCTCACCTAATCATTTATGAACTGAAGATATGATTGGTAACTATAATCAGATGGATGTGTCGTGGTCAGGCTCATGTAGAAGACAGGAACCATTCATTAACATACTGATAAATATGATAAATAGATGAAGTAACAAAATTTTAGTAGTAGGAAAATACATCCTTTTTGCAGTGCATATTGTTTTAGTGACATTTTGGAGGGGTGTTGCAAGGAACCAAGAATTTAAGGTCTTCTTAAAAACTGATTTGAATTGGGATTTTTTTAATCTTCTGTGCCAAGTGTAATGTTCAGTTCCATATGGATTTAGAAACTGTATCAAATGACATCGCCTTTTGTATTTTGAGTATTTGCAAAACAGGAGCTTTGCATCTCTAATGAACACTATCACCTAAAGCTAGTCATGCAGAGTGGCGCTGTGTCAAACTTTATTTGAAAGGGCTTTCTGTTTTAAGTTGTGCTCACATGATGCAGTTGTGTTAACCAAATTGTCTCAGACCAGTTGACACACAAAACACCTGGCATCAGGTATATTCCACCATATACGAATAAAGTCTGATTTTTGGATCTTTGTGTGCACTTTAAGAGAACTGTGACAGTACCATCTCATCCAAGTCCAAGTAAAGCGTACTCGGGGGACACCAGTGATGACTTAAAGTTATGGTTTGAAACTCAGATGCTATCCATGCTTTGTGTGGCCGCATGCCCACTAAGGTTGAGTCATGTCATTTATATCGTATTTCCAGGTCTGCGCAGACTTTATGTGGATATTTGCGTACGGGCTGAAGGTTTGTGTCTGCACGGACAGTCCGCACAGCAAAACCCTAACTGCATATGTGCCACAATGCTTGGAAACTGTTGGCGTATGCAGACAGAAGGCAGACCCTTGATTTGAAGTATAAATAGGAATGCGTGCGCACCACTGACCTGTCTATGAGGGTATGCGCAAAGCATTAATTACGCCTTTAAGGTAGTGTAGCATGAAACTCCAAATCAGTCCACTCTGCTTCAAGCAGCACTCCCTCTCCCTTCTCCGTTACGACCTGCTACACTCCGCCATCCTCTGCCCGGCTCTTCAGACATTTGTTGTTATGAAATTACAGTAAATGAGAATGCAACAAAACCTAGTGATCAAACAGAAATAAGAGAAAATCTCCGATTGGCTGGAGAGGTTGATCTCACTCAAAACCTTTAGAAGCTAATGTTTCTGCTGCCAGTGATGTTCAATGAGTCTGGATCACAGGAAGCTTGGACAGCACCCCTCCACATTAAGACAAGTTTTTGAGCAGATTTCTACAACATAAATATTTGAATAAATTGCATACTGTAGCTTTAACAAAGTGTCACACAAGATACTTCATTTGTTTTGTTCACATGATACTCACATGGCCTCCCTGTCTTTAATCTGTATTTGTATCATAATACACACAGCAGGGTGTGACCAGATTTTTTTGGGTTTGCCAGCTGAAATGCCTGGAGCTGTGCACTGTACTGCTTGGGTGGTGTGCCCTGACCTGCTTGGAAGGGTGGGGGTGGGGAGTTATGGAAGGGCATTCTTCAGTGCATGTTGTTACATCTGGCACTTAGTATGCTGTGTTGTGTACCCATCTTATGATCCATATTGCACCTGTTGGCAAAGAGGCTGCCATACCAAACTCCATTAAAAAAATCAGCATAACTAAAGATTTTTGTTGAATAATCTACCTCTGGTCATTAACATGCCATACTACATGCCTAAGACACCAAGTAGAACTTACAAAGAGAGGAGAGAAGGTATATCAGTTCTCACACTACTGACCCACGCTGTGCTGGACTACAGAGAACATTGACAGCCAATTACAAAAATTCATTTTGTCATTGGTTCTGGATTTAGCTTAACAATTACTGTATTGGTTTTGTTCTGAAAGGTGTCTAAGTTATGTTTGGCCTTTGGGCCAGTGGTGAAAGAATTAATCAGAGCCCTTAAGTAGAAGTAACAATCCCACAGTCTAAAAGTACTGTGTTACAAGTAAAAGTCCTGCATTCAAAATGTTACTTAAAAGTAAGTTTTGATGCTAATATTTTGTAAAGTATTATAAGTAAAAGTACTCATTATGCAGAATGGCACATTAAAATTAATGTATGTCATATTATTGAGTTATGATTGCTGATATATTATTGTGTACATCACATTTAATGTTGCTGCTGGTGATGGGGGAGCTGGTTTTAACAGGCTTACATGCTTATAATTTGAAGTACTTTACATACTGCTAGGTAGCTTGTCAATAAAGTTTTATGATTACGCTGTCATTTATATATTAACCTGGTTCTGAAAAGTAACTAAAGTTATAATATAACTGTAGTGGAGTAAAAATTACAACATATTATCAAATCACCAAGTTAGCTTGATGGCTACAGCAAGTGGCACGCCTGGTGTGCGATTATGACATCCTTATTTTCTCAGTAACTGCCAGTTCTGAAGCTTTTTAGTGACAACAGAACACTGGGTTCATTTCAAAGAGCTTCAAGTTTAGCTTGTTTTGTTATTGCTTTGGAGATACTACATATTAATTCATTTTTTAAAAGAAATAGTATTTATTATACTTAATAGTGGGGCCTCCTGGGCTTGCAGGACCTTAAGTAGGTGCTTAATTCTTCCCAGGCCAGCCCTTATCAGAGGTCCTTCCTTCCTCTGATTCAGTATAGTATGTTGATAGGAGAAAGACATCCAAGTGGCTCTTGGTTTTTGTAAAGCAGTGGTTTCACCAATATATTAGTTGCTCGTTATTTTGGCCTCTCACCTTTTCTTCTTCAACAAGAAAAATGATATTGGCTTATTCTCAATTTGCATTCCAAGCATATGACAGCACTGTTATAGTACATTCTCACTGGTGTAAAAAAAAAAAAAAAAAAAGGTTTGCTATTTTTTTTTTTTTTTTAGTCTATCATAGTTTATTTCTGTGCTTTTCTGCATTCGGGACATAGATGTTGGTGGCCAGGAAGTCTTTGGCTGTAGTGTGTGTTGTGACACCTCTTAGAGCTCTAACAGAGGATGTGAGGCAACAACAGGTGACAGCCATCCTGATCTGACATCAGAAAGGTGTACTTTGGAGGAGAGACTGCAATTCATTGCTTCTTGTCTCATGAAAACGGATGTGAGAAAAGTGTG